TTCAAATCTTTTGCCCTCTCACCAGGCTTCTCCTCCACCTTGAAACAAGTGCATACGTCTCTTCTAGTCACAATATGAAGAAATATTCTAGGGCTGAGGCTATAGTTGACTGGTAGAGGGCTTGCTTAGCATGTGGAAGGCTCTTGGTTACATCCGCAGCACTGTAATATTTTTTTCAGTACTTGGGATTGAACTGAGGGCCTTAGCACTGAACTATATCCCCAGTCCCCACCGCCTTTGTTTATTTTGAGACAGAGTCTTGATACCTGGTGCATCTAATCATTTGGGGAGGTAACAAACTACACCCAGCAATCAATGACTCTCATCCCTTGAGCACTGCATCATTCCTGCTGCCAATGAAGTGCCAGGCAGGGCCCTTGCAGAGCACCTAAGAAACTTACAAACAATGGCAAGACAAGGGGAAAGACTCTTGCCTTTCCCATTAAATCCAAGTGCTCAATATCAAGAGATGAGAAGGAGCTGGGAATATCCCACAGCCGCCTCGTGACTGCATTGCTCAGGGAAGCAAGGCACCGTGGGCCTAGAAGCCTGGTCACTGCCAGCGACAAGAAGGGTGGGATGCAGATCTCTCTATGCCACACGAAAGTATTAGAGTACTGTCAAGGACAACCTGCGTTACAGTCACCTGAACGGCTCATTAGAACAAAGATAACCGAGTCTCACTGAAGACCTCCTGAGTCAGAATATCAGTGGCCGAGTACCCAGAACCTGCATCTCTATTCAGGTTTTCAAAATTGTGGTAAAATACAGATGAGATAAAATTTACAATTTTCACCTCTTTAAGTGTGCATTTCTGCAGCATGAAGTCCATTCCAGTATTGCATACCCGTCACCATCATCCATCTCCGGAACCTTTTTGTCTTCCTGAACTGACACTGCAGACCCAAATAAACTCCAGGGCCGTCAAACACTAACTTCCCAGCCTCCTTCCTAGTCCCCACTTGCAGTAGCTACCACTTTCTGTCTCTAGGAATTTGACCAGTCTACGGAGATCCTATAATTAGAATCATGCAATGTTTGTCCTTTTGGATAAAATCAGACTTTGCAAGGGAGCAAACTGTAGGTGCTAAAGCATATCTCTGTCTACATAACATCTTCAATCACTTACTATTTTAGCAAACCTAAGTGTGGTCTGGGGGTTGCAAGGGTTTCCAAGACCCTTTCGGAGGGTCCAGGGTCAAATTGACAAAATGCTAAGAAGGCAAAATGACAAAATGCTAAGAAGAAATGCTCATTTTCTCATGAGTGGAGTTTTGCAGAGGCTGTGTGGCAAAAGTCTCAATGAGGAGAAAGAATACAGCTCTCTTTTCTTACGTCAAGAAAGTAGAGAGCTACAAAAATTTAAACACAGGCACTTTGAAAAATGTAGTGATTTTTTCATTAAGATCCACGTTTTTATATTAACAAATATGTTTTGGACTTACTGTTGTTCTTACTAAATAGTAAATTTCTAAATTTATTTTATATCCTAATGTTATAGACAACTGAATTAGATAAAATAGTATAGGCAGTCAGATGGGGCTAGGCCCTTGAAGGAGCCAGTGTGGAAGATGACATACCTTGCACTGTGGGAGAGAGGGGTACCTCAGCTGTGGGCCAGGCCTCATGACAAAAGATAAAAAGAATGCACCCACATGCTTCCTAAGGATAAACATCAGGAATTGATATTCTAAATAGGTATCAGCCCTTGGGGAAGCCAGGAAGAAACACTAACCTAACCCCTACAGGAAAAGCCCCTGTTCTGTATTCATGCCAGCTTGCCATGTGACTTGCTTCCCTATTTGATCCCAATTTAATCAATTTTACCTGAGCAATTATGCTTATAATCTTTTTGGTTGACCACAGTTTTGTCCCACCTCATTGCTACCTTTCAATTTGCCATTTTTTCCACCTTGGACCTGCCTCATGTCATGGATTTGCTCTGTAAAAACCTGTAGTAAAGGTACATTCTTTGGTAAGCCATTTGGGACCACTTCTGTCTCTCTCTCAGACAGAAGCTTTCTTTCCCCCAATAAATATATTGTGCTCTTAACCTCCGATGTTCCTAAAATTCCTTCTTCAATTTTAGAAAATGAGAACACATAACAGATATCTAGCAGGTTGGGAGTTCCTTTCCCCTTTATCACTAACATGGAAGATAGCAATAGATATAAACTGCTTAAACAAAAACTTTTGAGGATCCTGAAAATTTTTTTAAGAGTATGATAGCATTCTAAAAGCAAACTGGAGAACTGTCACATTATGTTAAGCTTCTCCACAGTAAAGGGTACACAGAGGGGCACGGAATCAGCATTTTAGCAAGTTTCCCAAGTGAAGCTTCTGCACATTAGAGTTTGAGTTTTGCTGCCACATACAATTCCTATTTCACAGAGATTGGGGGTAAATAATATGGCCCAGCAGTCGTCCCTGCTAAAAGACTTAGGCGACTTCATCAACAATACATGAGCCAGTGCTGTTGAGGTAGGATAGAAGATACAGATATATACATATATCCCCCCAAGTACAGTGCACCACTCCCTTGAGAACCCCACCCTAGTTTGTCTGATCACATACTTCCTTTTTTTTTTTTTTTTTTTGGTACTGGGAATCAAACTCAGGACCTTGCGCTTACCAGGCAGGTGCTTGTGTCACTGAGCTATATCCCCGGCCCCACATACTTCTTTAACTCTGCCAAATAAAAGTCCATTATCCTTTTCACTGACACGTCCTGAAATTCTTTTTCCGTGACAAGAGTCAAGGACCTACTCTGCCTGGTGTGATGGCGCACACCCTGGCATGCCAGCACTCTGGAAGCCTGAGGCAGGAGAATCATAAGTTTGAGCCCAGTTAGGAAACTTAATGAGACCATTTCAAACATTAACAATGGGGTGAGGGAGATTTGGGCTGGGGTTGTAGCTCAATGTAAAGGCCCTGGCTTCGATCCCTAGTACAAAAAATAGAAAAGCAAAACAATACAACTACTCAGTGGGCTGAGTTGTAATCCCCATCTTTTCTTTGGTGAAATCCCTTACAGCCTGTGCAGTTGTAAGATTCAGAAATAAGAAATGAGCTACAGAAATGTTAGGCCACATTGTGAAAAGAACAGTATCCACAATGAAAGAGATGATTACCTTTTCTAACTATATTCCATACTAGTGGTTCTATGTTTACCTTTACAACACCACATATTAAGAGTGACAAGGCCAAAGCAGGCCAGGTAGCACATGGCTGAGATTCCACTACTCTGGTGGCTGAGGGTGACGGGGAGGCAGGAGGATGGAAAGTTTGAGGCCAGCCTGGGCCATTTAGAGAGTTCAAAACCAGCCTGAAGCACATAGTGAGCCCTTGTCCCAGCCTCCCTATGAAAGTAGTAAAACCAATATATGATAGGTCCTCAAAGGTTCACCCAGCTGATCAAGAGGCTGAAATGCAAAATAAGTAATGTCTAGCGATGTCAAGTATATAAAATTGAATATTTTTTGTAACATGACTTTCAACCTCACCCTAAGGCATGTCATGTGCAAGAAATCCCTCTTCCTAAGCAGTGCTATCCATACATATTGCTTTATATAACTCCCCTTTGGCTACTTATTCTCAAATTTTTATCTACATCCAGGTAGGATCATTCTCCTAATTTTTAGCTCTTCCTGGCTCTCTCCACTTGGACTTTTCACAGGCACCTCCCATTCTACAGTGCTAAAATCAAACTATTATTCTCACTTTTATGAATAAAGAATCTGAAGCTTACTGTCCTTAAAGAGCTTCCCCCGTTTCAGCAAAGAAACCCTATATGACTGACTCTAAATTTCATGTTCTTTCCATTCTTATCACATCGTTTCTATAACAATAGGGAAAATACTACACTGCTACATATTTAGTTTGTAAGTCTAAAACAAAGTACCAAGTTTCACAGGGGAATTGGTTATTTCTGAAAAAACAAATCTGCTCTACAAAGCTGTATTCTCAAGTTTTCTATAATACATTTTAAAAAGAAATTATTGGCACTCTCATACCCAAAGAAGCTAAAAGTCCTTTCTCTCATCCATAGTTTCCTGCTCTTTTAAAAAGAAGACTTCTATGTCCTCTTACAGATGTGCCATTTCTTAGAGTCTATGGAAGACAGTGTTCCATATAAGGTACAGACATTGTGAATAAACACTCATACCATTTAGCCTGTGTAATAGCTCAGCTGTTTTCCAACACCATCCTTCAGGACCTGCTGGACTACAGGCTGATCATATATCTTCATGATATTCTCATCTACTCCAGGCACCCAGCCCAGCATGACGCACTTGTCCACACAGGCCTGCCTTGGCTCGGGCAATACCACTGCTTTACTAAACTGAAGAATTGATCAGGTAAAAAGTAAACTTTCTGTGATATATTTCCCAATGGGGGCTTCTGATGGTTTACCACCAGGTAAATTACTAACTGCGTGAACTTGGGCAAGTCACTTAACCTTTCTAAACCTTGGTTTTCTCATCTATTAAAAAATATTAATAATATAATTCACCAAGAAATAATGTATGTAAAAGCAGCAGGTATATATACAGGGTGTTTAGTAAATGTCTCCTGCCTTGACTATCAACCCCAGTGTATCCTTGGATGTCCTAGTTATTATCAAGGTTCACATTTTACCTCTACTTTCTGATCAACAAATACACAAGAAATGCCTACGGTGATTCTCATTCTGCAGAACTGAGGTCAGATAGCAAGTTCAAGTCACTAATACGTAGTCATCCAGCTTCTGCTTAGATGCTTCCCATAACATGGAGCTCATTCCCTTCCCACACTCCCATTTCACCTTGAGTCAGCTCTGCTGTAACTTCCATCCAGTAATCCTAATTTTGTTCCAAAGGGTCAAAACATACAGATACCACCCTTTCTCATGACAAACTGAAAGATACTGGAAGACAGCAATCATACCCCATTTCACCCTCTAGACTAGAGTTTGCTTTCTAAATTCTGTTTTGTCTTTTTTAAGACAACTGCCATAACAGAGCAGAGGACTTGATTGAGGTGTGGCATCTATAAACTCAGAAAAAAGTACAATAATCACCTCCTGTATTCTAGACTCTATACAGTTATTGTTGCAACCTAAATTCCCACTAACATTTTTGGCAACCACATTAAACATGTATCCAACCTGTAGAGTTACTGGTTTTAAAATTTTTGTTTATTTTGTGAAACTAGTACTGGAGGCCACACTTACTTTTATTAAGTTTATTTTGTTGTTTATGGGCCATCTTTGTAGTCTAGTGAATTCTTCTTAGAGTCCTGATTCTTTCATCCAGCGTATTACTTCCTCTCTCATTGCAGTTCTCTTATAACACTTGATTGGCAAACTTTTCTACATCTCCAGTGAAGACATTAACTATAATGTTGAAACCAAGACAGAAATAGGTACAGAGTCTTACAGCTTACCATCAAGGGCATCCCTTTGCCGTAGTAAAGCTCAACCTTTTTCCCACCTCAGTGTATCTGACAGAGCTTGCAACCACCCGTGCACATCAATTAGAGCTTAAAAAACATTTGAGATATCCAAGGTGATGAGATGCAGGTTTTCTAAGAGGGAAACTAAAACGAAGGTTAAGCGCTTTATGCTTTGAAAGAAAAACTCTTATCCAAGTGAATCTGATAAATCCTGTAGCAAGTATGGCCTCCTCTTCCACACTTGGGAAGAATTCCTGCTCCAGGGAAACAGAATTAATAATTAACATCCTTTCCAAATGGTTACCTCATCTGGATGATGGAGTTAGTAATGCAGAGTTTGTAGGGTTTTATGAAGATTAATTGATTAATGCACATAAAATCTTCAATACAACACCTGTCACATAGTAAGTGCTCAATAAAATTAGTACTTAAATTTTCAAAATTCAACTAAAGGAACAATGATCAAACTCATATTTCCTCCATTTTGTTCACCAGGGTGTTTTAAAAAGAAGTCCTTGGCATGCTCCTTGTTGCAATTTAAGTACATTATAACTATAATAGACCTACTTCTACTAATCCAATAATTGTGAAAAAGGTCATGTTTCCCAGCCCACCAAAGTGAATATAAGACACAGCTTCCTAATGGGACTATTACGGCCAAAACATATTGAAGTTTAATTTTTCAAGCCGAGGTTTTACTGCATTATCTGGCACCAATCCTTGTCAACTGTGAAAGACAGAATCAGGATGTCTACATTCTTGACGGCCCACATCATTGCCTTTCCTGTTGTTCCTTTACCCAGTGCTGCTCCTTCCAGGAAGTGTAACACAGTCCAGGTGAGGTACCCCAGGCTTGTCCTGCAATAAGATAATTCCAACATATTCACACCAATATCTCTGACATCTCTCTCTCTCTCTCTCTCTCTCTCTCTCTCTCTCTCACACACTCACACACACATACACACATTTTGTCCCTCACTGTGGGTTTACAGTGCTGCACACCACATCTCAGGACCTCTGATAGTCACAGGTGCAAAGTAAAGTAGAGCAAAACTGAATTTAGAATCAGAGCAGTCAGTGAGTTTGCAACACTGAAAGATATTTTATGCTGTGTATTTTTGTAAGTTCTACTTCAGTGATATTATTATAAAAATAACAACCATTCACATCTCTATTATGCATTAGAGTTTAAGTACCTCAATGAACAGTTCAACCGTTGCTCCTCAAGATAGTTCAGTAGCTTCATTTGGGGGAAACTGCTGAAAACATAACAAATGGTCTTTATCAAGTAAAACAGTTTATTGTTCCCATATACAAAAATATTTGCTAGCACACAATCCAGTTTTATGAAGCAAAAATGTTGAATGGCAGCTACTTTGTACCAAAAGGCATTAAACTCCAAAGTGTTTATCTTTTAGGGCAGATGATATTAATTTTATTTTACAAATAAGGAAAGCAAGTCTCTTGGAGGTTAGAGAATTTGTTCAGGTACATATAGCAAATAGCAGAGTCAGGACTGAAAGCCTGGATTGTCTGACTCCAAACCTTCTGAATTTTTACTACCTCAACATTTGGAACTACCATTCAGCTGCTCTGACTAAAATGGCTGCCATCCTTTTTCAAAAAAAGACAGTGACTAACTGAAGCCACCTTCCTAAAAGACATCCTAAGCCAAGTACTTTCACAAAAGGATCAGTTTCCCTTCTAGGAAGCCAATTCCCTATTCCATTCCATGAAACTTTTCCTTTTTATCTCACAGGTAAACAGTCACAGAGCCTCAGTGATCTACAGAAAAGATGTGAAGACATACTGCACCAAACACAGCTCCAATCCTACCTTCAGTCTTGCAGCATTACGTCACATGTCATCAAAGCATCTGGTCTGCCCACTGTCCCACTGCAGAGAGTTTACACACAAATTAGAAATGCCGTGGTCTATAAAAATTTCATTTTTTCATCCTCCATGTTTTTCAGCCCCTACCCTTCACACTACAGTCCCAAGAAGAACAGAAACACAGCCAACAGGGAGAGATCCAGACATCACAGTCCAATCTCCACATCAGGCTACAAACCAAGAAGATAGATAACTAGTGCTATGGAGGAGAGGTTAGATACTAAAGTTACCCCTGACCATAACCCTAACCCTAACCTTCTGCACGTCTCTCTAAAAATTTGTAAGGCAAACCCCTCAACTCTATTCTAATTAATTGACTGATTCACTTTATGGCCTACATATTCTAGTTAGCTCTTTTTCTAATTTGCCACTGCCTCCTACTAACTTAAGTAGGATTCCTAAATCACTGGACAGCATTGTGATTATCCCCAATTAGAGGGGTGAGAAGGACATCACTCTTGGCTTAGAATTTTAGCAGTTCCAGCCTTAGGTGAGACCAGACCCAATGAATGGCCCCAGGAGCTGGCTTGCAAAGCCACAAATCACTAGGGCCACAGACAGTCCAGTCTCAGCTCTAGCCAGATGAGGTAACTGGGTGGTGTCACCACACATACTGCTTCCCAGACAATCCAAGGCAGACACCCAAACCCTGCATTACCTCCTCAAAATGGTCTCTCACCTCTCAAAAAAAAATTTTAAGTGAGCATAAGTAACCTCTTCTGAACCTTCCCTCAACCAACCCTGACTCCCTGTATTTTCATGCCTCCTTATTTAATCTGTTTTTTTTTTCCCTAGTTCTCAGCTTACTTTCAACTTCTGTAAGTACCTGGTTCCTTGCTTTGGCTTTAATCCAGCATGATCTTCAGCCATCTTCCTGGGTTTATGGATCTCAGGCTCCAGGTCTGCAGAATTAGCTTAAACTGGTCAAACAGGTTTCAACTGGTCAGATCTGATTTTTCCTTGTCAGAAAAGATTTTAATTGATCAAGAGCAACTTCTGACAGTTTAAAACCCATTTGGGCCAATTTTATATTACTAATGCATTAATAAGCCACTGAGGTGATCAGGGTGAATCAAGAACGAGATGAAGCTGCTACAAATCTGCTCAGAAAACCTTAGGGGGGGCAAAAAAAAGAATCTGATGCTTAAGGACTATACCATTTGTGGTGGTGATCCTGGAGAGGAAATGAGACAGAACCTAATAGCCAGAGAGGCAGGATCAAACCACTGTGGACCCCGGGGGAGGGCCTAAAAGAAACGGATCCTCAATGACGCAGGATCAAATCATTGGTGCAAGAAAGGAGGGGGGAGGACATCCATGTTCTCCAGACAGGATCAAACCACTGAGATATATAGGGGACTGAACAGGGATGCTTTCCTATAAGGTGCTTTCAAACCACTGTGAGAAAGGGTCCGACAAGAAGAGCAAAGAGTAAGAACATAAAGGGCCTAGTAATCTGTAAACAGGATTTCACTGTTGACAGAAATGCTATGCTATTCTAAGAAGCAGGACCAAACCACTGTGGAAGAGAGGGGAGTTAAAGGAGCTGACATTTCTTAAAGCAAATTTAAATCCCTTATGGTAAAAGAAGATACAACGCTTTGTAAGACAGAATCAAACCCTGTCTTATGGTTAATAAATGCTATTTACATATATTATCTCATCTGTTCTTTATTCTGCCTGACGGCTGAGTCAGACCATCTTTCCACAAAGGCCTCTGCAGAAATTCTCAGCTACTCCAGATGGTTGCTAGGGAACAGGGCAACAGCTGCTTAATCAACCTTGCCTTTTTGACATTACCCCCTGAGTTTTTGGAAGAGAAATAAGATGTATACACATGAAAAAATTAGGGTGTAAACTGAGATATTATCATCAAATGCTAGGCGCATAGGGATGAAAGACAAAAAAACTTTCAAAACTAAAAAGGAGAAAAATGATTTGGAAATGTTCGTCAAATGGAAGAAGCAACATTGACAAAAGCACAACCCTACACATAAAATTTGCCTTTGAGTCCTCCTATGACACCCCTAGCAATTGGTGCTTGAATACCTTTTTTGAAAAGGTATTTAGATAAGTTCTAACTTCTTGGAATCCTTTCAGAGTTTCTTGTAACTCTAGTGATTGTTTTTTATACTGGCCAAAATTTCTCCCTCATATTTTCTGTCCAGTAATGTGAGTTGTCTTCTAGAGCAGAGATTGGCAAACCTGAGTTTGCAGGCCATATCCACTGCCTATTTTTTGTGCAGACTGTGAGCTAAGAATAGTTTTTAAATTTTTAAATGGTTGATGAAAATCAAAAGGATAGTATTTTGTAATAGATGAAAAATTATATGAACATCAAATTGCAGTTCATAGATAATTTGGTTGGAATACAGTCATGCTCATTCATTTACATACATCTATGGCTGCTTTCCTGTCACCAAAGCAGAGTTGAGTAGTTGTATCAAAGATACTCTGACTCTTAAAGCCTAAAATATTCACCATCTGGTCCATTTTACAATAAATTTCCTGACTCCAGATCTAGAACAAAAAGGAATCAGTTTTCAATAGGATTCTGCTTAAGTAAAAGTGAAATGGGAATGGTAGGTATAAAAAAGTGAAGAGATCTGACATAGAATCACACATTCCCAAGAGGAGGGAAGGGACTCGTATCAAAGTCCTCAGAATTCATAATAACTTCAAGTCACTTCCCATGGACTCCAGAGGAAAAGGACAAGATTTAGCTTGGGTGGAAATCTAGAAGTCTCTAAGAAGAATGAATAATGCCTGGGAAGTCTGAGATCAGACTAAAAGGCCTTGAACACCAAATACTGTTGCTTGGCCATTCTGAAAGCAAGAGAGGAGCTACCACCAGGATTTGGACTTGGGCAGTTTTAGGTGACAAAAAGTAACAGCCAAGATTGATGGAGATGATTAATCCTTCCAGAGATTATCCTAGTTCTATCTCAGCTTTAGATAAGTTGTACTTGTCTCAGAAGTTCATGTCATTCTGGTCATTCAGGTTCAAATCATATAAACACAATGTGATTAGAGGCCAATATCCTATAGTGAACCAAAGAAGTTATTTCTGGTTAGTCTGAAGGGATTTCTACCTTAAGGGCATAAAATGAGTCTGTCAACAGAGGCCAAGGAAAATGGGCCTGGATGTCCCATTTCCCCAGAAAGACCTTGACCTCACAGAGGAAAGAGATCATAAGAGATTTCTAGCCAGGACTAGACTACAATAACCATGAAGAAATGGTCCTAATGCCATAATGTCCCTGGATTCCCATTGTGCCTGCCTTTATGGGATCAGGGCTAAATGTCCTGGTCAGAAAGACAAAGCCCACAGTTCTGGCTTCCAGGCATGCAGTCCCATTTTCCATGGCCTCTGTTGATCCTGGACCCAACCTTCCGGCTGGACTCAATAGATTCAAGATGAAAATAGGCCCTTGGCCTGAATGGGTGGCTTTTCACAACGTGATCTTTCCCCCAGTGACCAAAGCAAATGCTGCTTGCCAGGGCAACAAGCCAACCAGCCGCTCCTGAACTTTGCTGGCCAGCACCAAGGTCCAGAGTCAACAGTGCATAGACAGGTCTGCTATTTAGTTCTTTCTCATTTCTCAAACATCAGCTTTCCCTTCACTGAATCTAAACAATCAAAATAGAACGCTAAATGATCTCTAGCCTCTAGGAAAAAGTCAAGGATCTCCCATAAGCCTGAATTACAGAAGCTTACCATCACCCTCACACACATCTACCCCCTTCCTCCTCTGGAGGGTACCCATGCCCACAGGCTCTCTTCAGGGAGAAAAGAAGGCATACAGGAATGAGCTATCAGTATGTTCTTCCTGGCTCAGAGTCCAAGCTGAGAATTTTTTAAAATGTGGAATCCATCAGTCTTCCTGAATTAAGTAGTCAGGCTCCCCTATCATGAGGGGGCAGGGAGCAGGGGCCAGGTTGTGCCTAAGACAGACATGGGAAGAGGAAAAGGAGAAAGGAGAAAGAAAAGGAGAGAGGTGAAGTCTTAGCCTACCACAAAAGAAAATACTTTTGATCTAACATACAGAAATCTCATCTGGGAGTGGGAAAACTTTTGGTAGTAACAAAGCTAGAAAATGGCACCATCCTGATTATGAAGTTTTCTTGTCTGTACATAAAGAAATAATTTTTACAAACTATGTTCCTGATACTCAGGTCTTCCCTACTAGTAATCACAGACATTTCACAACAATAATAGCTATCATGTAAATAGCACTGACTGTGTGGCTAGCAATGTTTGTTCACCAAAGCCCCCCAGGATGATAGTCAGTGCTCAAGGGTACTTCAAGATATTTTAAACTATTTGCTGGATGTGGTGATGCACACCTATAATCCCAGCACTAGCAAGGCTGAAGCAGTAGGATTTCCATGAGTTCGAGACTAGCCAGGGATTTCATGAGTTCAAGGGTAGAAAACAAACCCTATTTTGAAAAAATCAAAACCAAAAAAGGGCGATACTTTAAATTTTTTAGGGCAATACACTTTGTTAACTACCCCTAAGCTTTTTATATACAACTACTCAATAAACAGAAATGTTACATATTTCTTTGGGTTTAGGCCTGCTGAGGGAAAAAATAATTACTGATACATAAGGGTGTACTGAACCAAAAACCTCTTGGGAACCTTTGCTATATATGTTACTTGGATTGTTTTATGTAATCCTCAGATGTTATAAGGTATGTCTTAGTATTGTTTCCATTTCTAGGGAAACTAAGGTTCTAAAAGATTAATTTGCCGGATGCACACACATGATATGTGAACCCAATAGTGGAATACTATAAGGACTGTGTTCTTAAACTATTTACAGTATTGCTTTCCCATAATTGGCTTTGCATACATTGCATGCACCCACTGTGAAGAATGCCTTGATAGGACAAGGGATCTTTGTATGCTATGTAAATAGCATTCCTATTATACAAGTTCAGAATTTATTAGTCTCTAAATCACCACCCATACCATAGGAGGCATAGGAAAATGGTTGTCACTTGAAAGTAAAAAACAAACATAAAACATAAAGCTAAATTCTGGCTTCCTTTCAAACTATTTTAACTTTTCAACTTTGTTTAGACAAATTCTTGGGAGACTTCTCATTATGGTTCAGATCTGAAAAGTCCACCAAAAGCTCGTACGTTCAAGGCTTGGTCCCCAGTGCAGCACTGATCAGAGGCAGGGCCTTTGGGGGGGTGACTGGATCATGAGGGCTCTAACATCCTCAATGGATTCATCTACTGATGGGTTCATAGCTATTGGGCTAGTAGGTGGCAGTGGACACAGAAGGAGGTAGGGGCTAGTTGGAGGAGTAGACTACTCATGTGCTTGAAAGAATACTTGTACCCAGCCCCACCCCTGCTTCTGGCTGCTGTTGAGTAAGCAGTTCCTCCACCACGCACTCCCCACCATGATTCTCTGCCTCACCAAAGGCCTAAGGCCAATAGGGTTTCTATCAATCATGGCCTGAGACTTCTGAAACTAAAAGCCAAAATAAATATTTCCCTCTTTAAATTATTTTGTCCAGGTGTTTTGTCCAGCGATGGAAAGTTAGTAGACCTTCCATGCCTGGTAAAATCTTACCCTAAATTTTAGTTATTTTGATCATTAAGTTTTATCTTTGTGTTATAGTGTAACAAGCAATATCCTTTAACCAATGGAATATAAAATAACCCTCATTCTCACTATTGTCCTAAGGAAAGCAAGCCAGAGGCCAACATACAGAGGAGGGCAGTCAAGATAATCACAGAGAAAAGGGGCCAGAGTCCTGACTGAACCGTGCTTGAAGCCTGTCCAACCTCTGAACTTTCTTGTTTTATGAGCCAATAAATCCCTTTTGTTTTAGTCTATTTGAGTTTTTTAGTAATTTTCAAGTAAAACATCCTTAGTAAGAGTTACTTTCCTAAATCTC